TTATAAAATTATTATTATTATTAAAGTTACAGAGATGAAAGAGATCGTCACAGACAAGACGATAAAAATCGTCCTCGTGAAAAAGACAGACGCGAACGAGATTATGAATCTGAAAAGGACAGAGATCGACATGAACGTTATGAAAGACGTTCTATGGAAAGGAAGAAAAATAGAAAAAGTCCAACACCTTATTCACAGAAATCTAGGACGGATACAAAGGATGTATCACCTGAACGTATAAAGAAGAAAGATCATGAAGAAAGGAATGAAGAAAAGAAGAAGGAAAAGAAGATTAAAGAAAAGAAAAAGAAGAAAGATGATGAGAAAGAAAAGAAAAAGAAAAAGAAAAAAGAAAAGAAATCAGGTCAGAAAGAGATTGCAAAAGATGAATCTACCAAATCAACTGAACATGAAGAATTGGTAATAGAAAACAAACAGGAAAGCATGTCACCCACAAAAACTGATGTTCTGAAACCTGGTAATGAAGATGAAAACATTGATAATAGGATAGTTTGTATTCCTGCCGAAAATACTATGGAAGACTCAATTAAAGAAGAATTCGAGGATAAATCTTTAGCCATGAATCCAGAGCCTCCAGAATTCCATGAAGATAGTCCAGGAAGAATTGATCATACAGAATTTGGAACAAATCCACCTAATCCAAATTTCAAGCCAATTCCAGAATTAAAGTCTGAAATCAAACCCATTGATAGTCTTTACAGTGGACTAGATGATGCAGAAATAAATACGGTAATTACAGAAAAGTATTCTTTATTATCAGAAAATGATACAGAAGACAAAACTACTTTATTAGAAGAAAAGTCTCCAAAGAAAGACGAATTCTTAGCACCAATGCCTGAACTTTCTAAATGGGAAAGAGATGATACAACAGAAAAAGCAGATGAAGTATGTGAATCACCTGTAGAGAAAATACCAATAGATGAACCCAAATCTACAAAAGTAGTTACATCAGAAGTACTAAAAAGAGCAGAAAATGCAATTTTTCAAAAAGCCATTAATGCTATTAGACCTATTGAGATTAAGAAAATAAGTGAAAGTAGAAAAGTACTGTATCAAAATCCAGAACCTAAAGTACAGAAACGTAGAAATTACAGAACCAGTGAAGAAAGCCAAATTGGACAGAACAAAATTCAAACCAGTACCAGAAACATATTCACCTACGAGACTTTCTGCAAAAGAAAGACTAGGTGAAAAAGTGGAAGAAAATAAAGAAAGAAAAATGAGCCCTATTAAAAGCTTTTTAGATAGACGTGAAACAAAGGGTGAAAATCAATCTAGAAGTCGATCTCCTAGAAGTAGTAGGGATAAGAGAATTTCTCCATTGTTAGATAGACGCGTTGATTCGTCATTATCCATGCCAGGAAACGAACGAAAAGTATTCCTTGATGATAGAAAACGAGATAATAAGGATCGAGGTGACCGTTCGAAAGATAGAAATGACTTCAGAAGTGACCGGCATGACATAAGATCAGAAAGAGATCCAAGGATCGATTCTAGAGGGGATTTCAGGTCAACTCGTAATGATTCTAAAGAAAATAGGATGGATAAAGACAGAGAAAAAGATAGAGATAGAGAGAGAAGGGAAAGAACACCATCTTGTACATTTAAGAGAAATGAAATTCCAAAGATAAGTCTTTTGAAAGGCAGAGAGGAAGAAGATGATAGACGTAGGGATAAGAAAGCAAAAGAAGATAAGAAAAGAAAGAAAGAGCATCGAAGTAGAAGTAAATCCAAAGAACATAAGAAACGAAAAGAAAAGAAACATAAAAAAGATAAAGATAAAAACTTAGAGAAGAAGCAAAAGCATAAAGAAAACGTTGCTTTAAAAGATAAACTCGAAAGTAATGAAATTAAAATAAATTACGAAAATCCTGAACCCTCAGCTGCAGAATCTGTAAAGAAGCAAAGGAAAAACCCAAGGCTTGTGTCTGATCGTAAGCGTAGTATGCTTGATGAAGCTAGTTTCGAACCTGATTATAGCGCTTCAGATTCAGAATCGGACGGAGAAGATGGCAAAGTGGTCCCATTACCTGCTAAAAAGCTCAAACTCGATGACCACCCAGACATGGATAAGGAAATAGACATAAAATCTCTTAAAAAACGATCAAAATCTACGAGTAGCGAAGATTCATCTAGTAGCTCAGACAGTTCAACTACCGATTCCGATAGTTCGGACGAATCACACAAGAAGAAGAAAAAGAAACATAAGAAACATAAGAAGAAGAAATCTATGAAGAAAGACAGTAGTTCCGATTCGGATTCTTATTCAGATTCGTCGGAAACAAGTAGTGACGAAGAAAAACACAAAAAGAAATCAAAAAAGTCAAAGAGTAAAAATAAACAAGCAAAGAAAAAGAAAAAATCAAAGCACAAATGACATCACTAGATGTCTGTAATATTTTAAAAGTGAATTCTGACAGTAACTTTTCTTTGTGAATGCTTTTTAATGTAAGATTCTCAAGCAGAGTTATTTACAATTGTATGCATCAAACTGAGATTGTTATCTGATATCTATAAAACAATGTAGACAATTTATTCTATATTTACAATATTATAACAATGTTCAAGGTTAATTTGAACAGACATTATTGGTTACTTATTACTAATGGTCAATATTTTTGGGGGATTGAAAAATTTAACAAAATAAGAATGGGCAAACAAAGTATGACATTTAACTTGTTATATTTAATTTTGAAACGTTATTAAGGCCTTTACATGTTACAATTCCACCTCTAAAATGCTGTAAGTAAATTCATTACAATAAATGATGTACATTATAGCATTCAGTAGATAATATCTTTAAGAAATCTGATACAATACTTTTAGAGGACAACAGTAGTAATATTTAAGATCTCCAATATCTCAACATTATATTGTACTTTCGTAATGTAATGTCAATATGTACAAGACGTCATGAAATAAAAAGACGAAATTCTTTTAATTTATCCTTGTTCTCGTTTTATAACACACAAAGTGTTTAATAACAAATATTAAACATGGTTTATTTTACAAAATTATACATAACTTCATTGTATAAAATTGTTTTATATAAAGCACAGAAGTCTAAGTATGTTACAAACATTTTTATTCCATTATAGAATGAAGGTTTTTAAAATTTGTACATTTTTTGTTCACTCGTAACACAGAATATTTAGTACTGACAATTTTTTATATTTTTATGTTCATATTATCCTTGAATATAATTTTACATATTTATGTATTTCTTAAATTCTTAAATGTTTCTATGATATTACACAGCAGTGGTAAATTTATACTGCTTTCACTTTCCTTTAGCCCTAAACTTTGCAGTAACAAAGATCTATCAAGAGGTTGTTTTGATAAATCACACTCTGAAACATAAATTTAATTTTTTAATGTTTTATGAACATTGATGTCTCTGATACATTACATTGTATATGAAAAATAATGTTAAGTACCTGAAATAAATACTGTGGAACTGTATTTATATCCCATCCAATCTAAATATTCTCGAATAAGTTCATTTAAAAATATTATATCTAAAGGAGGTTTTGGGAATTGTGTTTTATTTCCTTTAGTTGAATTATCTAATAATTTTATAACTTCTGTACGCATTTCAGCTTTTATACGGCCCAAATTTCCATCTGTTTTAAGTGATTCTTTTACTGCTGTACGTATAAATGTATTAATGAATTAAAAAAAGAAAAA